AATTTCTTTTTACATTGGTTCAGGTAGAGGTTTAGAGCGATGAAGGGTAGAATGAATTAGTGCTGTAAGTGGGAAACCTATTGAAAACTTTAACATAATTTTTTTTTTTTTGCAGCATCAGGAATCAAACTGAGGGCCTTGTGCTTGCAAGGCAGGTGTGGCGCCACTGAGCTAAATCCCTGGCCCTAACATAATTGATTAAATCTATGGGGCCGGGGATTTAGCTCAGTGGTTTCACCACCTGCTGCACAAGCACAAGGACCTGAGTTCGATCCCCGGTACCAAAAAAAAAGAAACATAATTTATTAAATCTAATTGTACTTCATGTTAATGAAAGAGAAGGAGTGGAAGTCACCCCAGAGGGAACCGCATGCCTCCAGCAAACATCTCTTCTTCACGGAGACTGTGTTTTCTAGAAAGATTATCTGATGTTAACAAAAAGGTCTGAAAGCAACAACAGGAAATATTGCTGAAGGAGAACGGATGATGTAGGCAGGATAAATGTTAATACTATAACAGAAATCAGAGGTGTTAAATCAGCAAATTTTATCTATCTATCTATTTATTTATTTATTTTTGGTTCTTGAGACACAGTCTCTCCATGTAATCCAGGCTGACCTTAAACTCACTATGTACCCAAGGCTGGCCTGCCTCAGCCTCCCAAGTGCTGGGATTATAGATCTGCACCAGCACATTGGGATTAAATTAGTAAATTTTTTTGTTTTTTGGCTTTTGGTTTTTTTGAGTCAAGGTCTCCCTTTGTAGTTCAGGCTGGCCCTGAACTCACTATGTAGCCCAGGCTGGCCTCAAACTTGCAGCAATCCTCCTGCCTCAGCCTCCCTAGTGCTGGGATTACAGGCTTGTGCCACCACACCCGGCTGAATTAGTAAATTTAAAGAAACGGCTGGCAGCCTGATGAAGAAAAGAAATTTATGAAGAGAGATAACAAGGGGGAAAATGGTAGAAAAGACAAGAGACAGAAGGAGATGGAGGGAGAGGAGGGGGAGGAAGAAAAAGAGGGGGAGAAGAAAAGGAAACAGGTAGGACTGTGGCGTGGTTTGCACCCTTTCAATCAAGGTGAAACGGGAGTTTTAAATCAGGTGGGCGTGGTCTGCACACATCTGTGCTGTGTGGCCCCTGCCCAGAATATTGGGTGAGAAGGGAGGCAGAGACAGAAAGGTCTCTCTGGCCACTGAGCACCTAACACAGACTCTAGGACAAGCCCCTCCATTCTCAGAGGCCCACAGAGCCTGCAGGGGAACCCCAGCATCAGCACCCTCCACCCCTAGGCAGCACCCCTGTCTGCAGGCCCACGGTGAGGAGGGGGGTCAGGGAGGAAGCAGAGTGGCAGCTGAAGACCCCACAGGCAAGAAGAGCCCTGCTTGCCCAACCTCACCCACCTCCTCTCTTGTTTCCTGGGTCCCCACATCTCTCCCGCTGCCCTCCCCACATTCCTGCAGGGCCCCAGCATCCTGGTGATTCCGGGACATTTACAAATTGCTGGTCCAGAACAGAGCCAGCCATTCTGCAGGAGGCAGAAGTCGTGTCCCCCCTTGAGTCTCCCCAGCAGGTGGATGTTCGCCCATTTCCTGGAGGAGAATATGAGGCTGAGGGAGGAGAAATACGAGTGTCCCAGAGCTGCTGACACAAGTTAGCACACAACGTGGCTCAGAGGGACAGAAAGGAGGCCAGGCTCCTGGGTTCCCGGCAGTCCCTGGGCTTCCTCGGCTGGCAGCTGCATAGAGACCCTGTCTCTGCCCCCTAGTGGGTGTCTCTGTCTCCCCTTGGGGGGACAGTAATCATATGGGGCCAGGGCCCCCATTGCAGTAAAACCTCATTTGAACTCCTTACACCTGCAGCAACATGATTTCCACAGAGGGTCACATCTGAGGCATGGGGTTCACAGCTTCAGCACATCTCTTTTGGGGATATCATCCAGCCATGACAGGAAGTGACTCACCCAGGCTTACACGGGGAGCAATCAGAACCCCAGGCCAGGCTGTGAATCACAGCCTTGTGCTCCTCATCCTGAGACGATGCTGATGTCAGCTTCCTCTCACGTCAATGCGGAGCTGGCTCGCCAGGTGCCACGGCCCTGAGCAGGGCCACCACTGCCACCCAGCATGGCGTGGGCAGATCTTGGCCCAATTCCTTCCCACTCCACTGTGGCACACTGCCCTGCAGAGGCTGGGGGCCCCAAGGTGTGGGGAGGGGAGGGACAGCACCTCCCAGACACAGAGGGTCCCCAGGAGGGGAGAAAGGGGGACTTCCCCAGAGCAAGGCCTGGGGATGCTGCCCCTGGGCCTACAGCCCAGCACCCAGTCCCTCTGAATCCAGGAGGACCACGGGGCAGGGCCACAGGAAACGGGTGACAGACCGCTGGGGCCTTCCTGAGACACCCTCTTCTTAGAATGGGGGCCCAGGGACAAGTCTGCCTCTGCCTGCCACTGGAGGGACCAAGCAGAGCAGCTGTGACCGCGAGGACTTGGCCTGGGCAGAGGGTCAGGTCTGCTCCCAGGAGAGGGAGGGAAGAGGAATCGGGGGTGAAGACATCGAGCAGCACCCCGGATCTCCTCTGCTGTCCTCATGCACCCTGGACACTCCACCGAGCAGAAGAAGAAGCAGCCTGGAGGGAAGAACAGGGCCGGCAGGACACTATGCTGTCAGAACTGTGCTCCTTCCCCGGGAATAACCACGGGTCTGGAGTCACCACGTGACACATCCCGGCCACTACCCACAGCACCTCAGAAACGCTGGTCCTTACTGGAAGATGACGCTCACCTGTCATCCCACTGCTTTGGGAGGCTGAGGCGGGAGCATCACACGTTTGAGTCCAGCCTACCCAATTTAGCAACTTATAGAGACACTGTGTCAAAGTAAAAAGTACGAAAAGGGCTGGGGACATAGCTCAGTGCAAAGGTCCGGTACAAACAATCCATAGTGGGGGAGAGGAGAGAGAGAGAGAGATTTCTCTGTTCCTCCCCACTAGCTCGACCGACCTTGCTTCAGAAGCTGCAGCTGGAGTGTGGCGGTGGGTGGGGTGGGAGCCCTTTACTCTGCTTCCTCTGGGGTTGGGGGAGGGAGAGGGAGGGACACTGGGCCTGACGGGCCTCAGGCAGGGTGTCCCAGAGCCACAGCCACTGCCCACAGCTGCTCAGGGTTCCAGCGCACAAGTGCTCAGTGTGGCCCTGAGCAGGGTTTTAGGGCTCGACTGTCACTACCTTGAAATTCCCGGTAGGCAGCAGTGAGAATCCCTGCCTTCTATTTTGCACTAGGACCCCGGCAAAGCACATGGCCAGCCCTGCACGAAGCCAAGTCTGTTGCAGCAACGTGCAGCTGGTGGCATCAGACCACGCTGCATGGCATCTCCTACACTTCAGGGGTCCCCCAAAAGCTTGAAGCCACTGATTTCATCCACACCTGGGGCCAATTCTGAGGGCTCTGGGCACACTGGGGTCATCTGCTCTGCCATCTTCCATGGTTCTGACAGGTGCACGGAGCCCCTCACAGGGGAGAGATCTGAGGTTGGTTGCTGTGCCCACTGAGCCAGATGGTGAGGGGCCGAGTTCTTTACAAGAGGCAAGAACCCCACTCAAGCCTGGCATGGTGGCACATGCCTGTAATCCCAGCACTTGGGAGGCTGAGGCAGGAAGATCCCTCTGAGTTCAAGGCCAGCCTGAACTACATAGTGAGTTCAAGGCCAGCCTGAATGACCCACTGAGATCCTGTCTCAAAAGAAAAAAAAAGAGGAAGCACAATTCTTGTGCTAAGGGCCTTAATCTTTCTTTGGCAGTGGCTGGGTTCTCCCCCTGAGCTGGGACAGAGGCACAGTAAATAGAGACAGCAGGTCCTGGTCTAACTGCTCTTCCCACCCCCAGCCTGGGGAGCAGAGGGGCAGAGGAGAGGGGAAGCAGGGCCTGGGGTCTGTGCTAACCCTTGTGGCTTTGGGGGGATCCAAGCAGCTGAGGGACTGAGGAGCCGCAGAGGCATCGAAGGCTGGTGGAGCTCACACCCTCTCCTCTCCGGAGGGCAGGCGAGGAGCCGCCCTGAGAGACAGACAGGGACTCTGTGAACCCGAGTCAGTCCCTGCAGCATCAAATCCACCCTCACAGCAAGCCATGCACAGACCGAATTTTCCCAGCACCTCTGAGTCAGACCCTGAGCTGGGACACGGTGACCAACAGGCCCCTGGTTCCTGGGCTTCCACACTCCTCTGAGAGCTGGGCCCATGCTGAGGACTGGGGCGCCCTGGGCTTTCTTCAGGGCAGAAGGACACCACCCTGCCCCAGGTGGCGACTCGGCCCTTCCCGAAAGCCTCCTTCCTGCCAGATCAGGGTCACAGCCACTGGGAACAACAGCGGGTGGGCCGAGTGGCAGGGACAGGGGTCTGTGGGGCCCATTTTCCCCAAACTGGGCCACTGTGAGCCCTTTCATCTCCCGCCTTCCTCTCCGGGCCACTCCAGTGCCTGCCTTTGCTCTTCCTGCCCCTCCAGCCCCAGTGCAGCAATTATGCCATTAATTAAGAGGCTTTGATCATCTTTAGAAATGGCCACATTGGGCAGGGACACTGCCAAGCAATTAGAGCCAGCAGGCAGAGAGCTTGGTGCCTTCCTCAGGAAGGAGGGCTGCTGAGGACCCCCAGACGCCCCCTGCTCTACTCCCCCGAAGAGTGTCTGCCCCCAGCATAGCCACAGACTCCTCAGGGCACCGGCAGATGGGGATTTGTCCCCAAGCCCCTCTGCCTGGTCCCCAGCCCAACCATCAGCTCCTCTCCCTGTCTCAGCCCCTTTGATGGAGCCGCAGGAACAAGGGCTCCTTTGACATGAGGGGACTGCGGGACTTCAAAGGTGAGGGTCGAGCCCACTACCTCATTCCCTCCTCCAACCCTGGCCTCCTCCCTCGCTCCCCTCGTCCCCTATAGAGCCCCTGCCTCCTCACTCCCTGAGGGCTCTTAGGGGGTGAGGGCCAGGTGAGCTGCAGCCCAGGGACCAGAACCAGGAGTCTGGATGTAGGAAAACAGGGTCGGAAAGTTTGAGGAACAACAATTCCATGCCCAGCGGCAGAAAAGCGGCAGGAGGCAGGCAGGAGAGGGTAAGCTGGCCAGGGACAGAAGAAGCCCTCTGCCACCATGCTGCTGGCTGCGCTGCTGCTGCTGCTGCTGCTGCCCCTCCCAGATCCCTGGTCCGCCTCTGGGCACCCACTGTACATGCGCCTGTCCCCCAGCACCCTGCAAGGTGAGCCGGGCTGTCTGAGGTGGGAGGGGCCTGGGAGATGGGGCTCAGGGAAGGGAGAGTGGACCCGTGGCCTTTTCTGCCCACCTGTCAGGGGAAGGGCCAGAAACTTGATACAGGAAGGGGAGGAAGGGCAGCTTGGCTGGCACAGGAAACAGAGCTGCCCAGCCCTGCCAGAGAGCCCTTCCAGCAAGGAGGCAAAGGCCTGGAGCAGCATGGCCTGGCTGCCCAAGGTGGGCCCCTCACTTGGTCACTTTATATCAACAGGCCCGAACTCTGGGATGTCCAGATCCTTTACGGTTTGTCTTCTGCAGTTTTTTGTTGTTGTTTGTTTTTGTTTTGTTTTGTTTTGTTTGCAGTCCAGGGCCTTTGAACTGAACTACATCTTCAGCACTTTTTGTATTTTGCATTTTATTTTATTTGTGTGCGTGTGCGTGCGTGTGTGTGTGTGTGTGTGTGTGTGTGTGTGTGTAGTGAAATAAGGTCGGGAGCCATCACATATCCTCCCTTCCTTTGTATTTTTTATTTTGAAACAAGGTTTCCCTAAATTACTAAACTGCCCAGGCTGGGAGGGAGCTTGAGATCCTCCTGCCTCAGCCTCCCAGAGTGCTGGGATAACAGATATACACCCCCCACACTTGGCTTTCTCCTGGTTAGTAAGGAAAGGCGCTTTGCAGAGATTCTGAATCTGGGCTCATCTGCTCTGAGGGCCGGGCCTGGGGGCCTGGGGTGCTCTGGGGGCCCAACCTGCTTCCCCCACGGCCTCCCAAAGCAGGGCTTGGGCTGGACCGGGAGGTTGGACTGAAGCTTTTGCCAACCTTGCACGCTTTGTGTCCTGTGCCCCAGCAGTCCTGTCGGCCCAGGGCACGCAGGCCTTGCAGGCTGCTCAGAGGAGCGCCCAGTGGGCAGTGAAGCAAGGGGCCACGGAGCTCCAGCTCAGACTGCTCGAGTGCCAAGGTCAGGAGGCCCCGCCCCACCCCAGCCAGCTCTCTCTCCTACCTGCACCCTTCACCGACCACCCAGTCCTGGCCCTTCACACTCCACACCCCTAGGACGCGGATGGGCTGGGCCGCCTCTGAGAAGGCGTGGGGAGGTGCAGGGGAGGCGGCTGAGACGGTGGCACTGGCAGTCAGCGCTGTTTCTCAGCAGGCCCTGCACACCCCAGGCCTCAAGCGCCCCTCCTCCAGAACCCACCTGAACCAGGTGAGGCTAAAAGGTCTGGGGAAAGGGAAAAGCCAGGTGGGCCTGGACGTGGCTAGAACTTGCTCCTCAACGCCGCCTCCGCCACTCCAGGGCCCTGTGGCAAAAGGCGGCCAGGCGTTGCCAATGTGACCAGGGCTCACGGCTGCATCGTGGGGGGCAGTGCGGCTCCTCCCGGGGCTTGGCCCTGGCTGGTGCGGCTGCAGCTCGGCGGGCTGCCTCTGTGCGGCGGCGTCCTGGTGGCAGCCTCCTGGGTGCTCACGGCAGCGCACTGCTTCTCGGGGTACGTACAGTCCCCTGGCGTCTGCCCGGCCGCGGCCCCAACGCACCGGCTGGCGATGCGCCGGAGAGCCGGTCTCTGCTGCCCCCTGGCGGAAGCCGGGCCGGACTCCAGGCTCGCGCGCGGCGAGGCTGCGATGCGGACCCCGGGCCAGGGCGCCCGCACCCCGCGTTCACGACCCCGCTCTGGTGCGCCCTCCCTGCTCCCCGGCGGAGACGGGTTCGCTATGGGTTGCGAGTGCGCTGCTCAGGGACCGGGGCTCCAGGCGCGTTACTGCGCCCCTGTCCTCCTGCCCATCACGGGCCACTCGCCCCGCAGCGCCTCGAATGAGCTCCTGTGGACAGTGCTGCTGGCCGAGGGGCCCCAGGGGGAGCCGGCGGAGGAGGTGCAGGTGAACCGAATCCTGCCCCACCCCAAGGTGAGGGCGGGCCCAGGCCAGCAGAGCTAGGACAGCACCCTAACGGCACGCAGCCCTGACCTTGCGCTGTCCCGCCCCAGTTCGACCCGCAGACCTTCCACGGGGACCTGGCCCTCGTGCAGCTATGGACGCCCGTGAGCCCGGCGGGGCCCGCGCGCCCGGTGTGCCTGCCCCAGGCGGCCCTGGATCCCCCCGCCGGCACCCCCTGCGCCATCGCGGGCTGGGGGGCCCTCTTCGAAGGTATTGGGGGGCCATGGGTGAGTAGGGGAGCAATGGGGGGCTGAGGTGATGGAGTTTGGGGAGGCTGGAGCGTAAGGATCAGGGGAAGATGCGGCCGGATCTTACAGAGGGAGAGGGCAGCGGAAGAGGACCCCGATCGGGGCGCCCCCGCAAACCCGCGTCCTTCTCTCCCCTGCAGACGGGTCTGAGGCCGAGGCAGTGAGAGAGGCCCGCGTTCCGCTGCTCAGCCCCAACAGCTGCCAAAGGGCGCTGGGGCCCAGGCTGCGCCCCAGCTCCATGCTCTGCGCGGGCTACCTGGCGGGAGGCATAGACTCTTGCCAGGTAGGAGGGCAGACAGCTGCGGGAGCTGTCGGGCTGTTCTCCTGAGTCGGACTGTCCTTTGGTTTCTCTGAGCTGTTGTGTGCTCCAGGATGGAGGTCACGTGGCGACCACACACGCGCTCAGAGCCGTCCCCCAGAGTCCCCTCCAGGGCCTCTTGGCTGCGCCCCTCCAAAGGCCGGCAGCGGGCGTCATTACCGTGAGCGTCCCCGCCGGCTCAGAGCCTGTTTCCTCATCTGCTCTTTCCTCTCTCTCGGTTCCTGTCCCGCAGGGTGACTCTGGAGGGCCCCTAACCTGCTCTGAGCCTGGCCCCCGTCCCAGGGAGGTCCTCTTTGGAGTCACCTCCTGGGGGGATGGCTGCGGGGAGCCTGGGAAGCCCGGGGTCTACACCCGCGTGGCTGTGTTCAAAGATTGGCTCCAGGAGCAGATGAACGGTGAGTGACCCCTTTCGCACGCCCTCCCCCGAGTGTCCTCGAGGTTCCGTGTCCACACCCCGCGTGGTCCCCAGTTCCCTTCCACCGTGGGAAAGCCTTCTCCTCCCAGGGAAGGGCTTCGGGGGGCAGGGCCCCCAACAGGGGGTGAGCTGGCCCCCGGCCCGCCCGCAGCGGCCCCCTCCACGCGCGAGCCCAGCTGCCGGGAGCTTCTGGCCCGGGACCCGCCCAAGGAGGCGCCAGCCGACGGCGCCGGGCTCTGTGGCTTCTACGCGCGCAGGTGCCCGGGGCCCGAGGGAGCCTGCGCGCGCCTGGCCCGCCAGCAGTGCCTGCAGCGTCGGCAGCGGTGTGGTGGGTCTCGGCGACCGGGGGGCGAGGCGGGGGCCCTGGTCGCCCCCGCACGCTCAGCCCTTCTTCCGGCCCTCAGAGCTTCGCTCGCTGGCGCACACGCTGCTCCACCTGCTGCGGGGCGCGCAGGAGCTGCTCGGTGCGCGCCCCGGGCTGCGGCGCGGGGCCTTCGCCCTGGCCCGCCCCGCCCCGTCGCTGCGGGAGCCCCCGGGGTCCGCGACCCGCGAGCAGCGGCTGAACTCAGGTATCCCTCGCCCCCCCCCGCCCC